GACGATCTGGGATTTTACTGTTTCCCGACTTCCCAGATTTTGCCGACTAATGACAACTCGAAATCGTAAATATCCTCGATCGCCTGGGATGGACGGGGACAAATCTGGAGAATCGGAAGCGTTTCTATTTTCCCGACGCGTCCCAGATTTCTGCGATGGTCGGCGATCATTCCCGACAAATGAAAACTCAAATTTGTATCGTCGGAGACGTCGGCGATGGATTTCGCTCATTACCAATCCCCCAAATTGTTGGGCTCCAGTCCCCCTATCACGCAAGTTTCCATTTTTGGCGCACTTTCCATTTCCTGCCAAATACACCGGGAGAGTCAGAGACAGAATTGTGGCGATTATCCGATATATCTGCATGGGACGGTCGGCAAAAAGTAAAAGCCCCGATCGTCTGGGATTCTCCCGACATATGAAAACCAGGCTTTAGTCTCGCACTGCACTGAAAGGGTTTACCCACGTTGGATAAGCGTAATGGCTTTCTTGCCATTTTCTCGTAATTTTTGGTATTATTATTATTATTATTATTATTATTATTATTATTAATTTTATTAATATCATCATCATCATCATTATTATTATTCTAATAACAGAGGATTTAGGCAAACAATTGAGAATAAAAATCAGCGATAGCAATGAATGTTGTTTCGATGACTCCATGTCATCATTTTTAAATTCGTGTTCTTAATTCCGTGAGTTCATTAAATAGGGAGTTGCGAGCGAAAATTTAGTTGCACGTGATTAAAAGAGAAAAAAATACAATATAAAGTGTAAAAGGTGCTAATTATCAGGTCTCAGGTTGACTGCCGAATTTAATTCATGCAGACGTCGCATCTCAAATGCAGTTAACTCTTCAAATAAATTCGGCACATGCGAAATTCGACCAGTAAATACTCTACGATATGACATACGGCATTGTTTATGTTCCTTTTGCTTTCAATTTACTACATTACGTTAATGGCTGTATGCACCACAGGTAAGAAGTAAACAGTTGATAAAGAAAAAGGCAAAAAAAAAAAAGAAAAAGAAACGACTAAGAAAAAACTTGCTGGTGGGGAGATTCGAACTTGCACCTCCAGAACTGGGAAGACAATGCTTCTGTCCACTAGACTACCTCCGCAATCTAAGGTGTTTAAAAGAGGTATCTATTCCCTCTCAATGATGATTGGCAGTTTTGAAGAATGACTTTTTCAATTTTATTTAAAGAATAAATCTTTGATTGATCTTAGTCAGACGTAAAGCTCACAAAAAAAGCCATTGATACTCTTTCAGGCTTGGCCCATGTAAAGCCGTTTGAGTAATTTATAAACTATTGATCGGCTTTCGACTGAACCGTACGATTCTCTCTCTCCCCGGAAAGAAGAAAAACAATATGGCCGCCAAATACATACTTTTGTTCTTTTAAAAGTTCTCCTTTATTAACAAACTTTGAACTTTTATTTCAGCAAACAAACAATTCAGTTGAAAAGGCATTCTGCAAAACTCTCAAAAGTAAGTAAGTAAGTCTCCTTTCCGATTTAAACTTGCAATATCGGGTCAATTTACGCAATTTCTAAACTTCTGGCTCAGTTTTCGTTTGCTTCTGCTTTCAAAATGGAGGTATAAGACAAAAAGACAAAAAAATTTTAAGATTTGTAATGAAAAACAACAAAACCTTGCCAATTTATGACGACAAATGTACTTTAAACACGAATTAAAATATTTAAAACGCTTTGGTCACGTGACTGATGAAGTCATTCCCTATTTGGTTCGTTAAACAAATTATCAGGTAAAACCGCTGATTACTTTCCTACAAATCTTCACTGCCGTGTGCTGAAAATTCGACGCTTTTCAGCCCTCGGCCTAGTCTCCCGACTTTTTCGCTCATGTTCATTGCCCCCTTGCCGGAAGTCAACTGGTTATTTTTAAATGCCCCACACTACCAGAACCTCAAATATGCTCTTTGTTTTTAACTCGGTAATAAAAACTTGACAGCAACAAAAAAGCTAATTTGGCAATAATCACGTGACTGATGATGTCATTCCCCTAGGTGTGACATGGGAATATAATTTATAGCACATGTTATCTTGTTGTGGTCTGACAATCTTCCAGGTATACAATTCTCAGAGTTACAAAGCTTTTTACTACTATTTTACAATAACAAAATAAGAGTAGCAGGAAAATGTTACTAATTTCAATAATGTTTTGGAAAACACGGTTTTTTTTATAATGATTAAGGTCATTATTATCAGGCTGCGACATAAATTAAGCGTCATATTTTCTTTTTACTTATTAAAGGGGGAGCCGGTCATTGGAATTGAGCTAAAGATCTATTTGAATCAATGGAAACCGTAAATTAAACACAAAAGTCATTGACGCCAGACCAACAAATTCGTCAATCGCTTAATTTCGCAAGCTTTTTGCGGCTGCGTTGTCCTCCTTCAGGACAATCAACCAGCTCCGGCAGTATTTGCTGAAAAGGTAAGTTACAAACGAAAAAGATGTTTTAGTGGCGCCGCGGTAAAATTTTTGAACTCCCGCGTAAAAAACAATGGCAAACCAAGAAAGCTTGCGGAACTTGGTGTATGTACAGTCCAACTCACGAATTCTCTCTTTCTAAGTAAGAGACGCTTAGATTCGCCATAAATAATAAGAAACTAGCTGCTTGAAAGCTGCTATTTAACAATTATTATACGACTGCGCGTTGGATATGAGTTGGCTGTAATCATCTCATATCCAACAATCGCGAGTGGAATGATTGTTTTATAAAAAACGCCCACAAAATGTGGAGAATTCTTCCCGACTTTATTTGTAAAAACAACCGATTTTCAGCTTGTTTTTAATTTTGAGCAGACGCCTACAGTTACCATATTTGGAAAGCATGGTTTAATGGTTCACATACTATGATGGCTAAGCCAATCAGAGCTCTAGAACTGCATTATCCAATAATTCAGTCTTAAATAATTATATATTTATTTTTATAGATAAGTCAAATTATAAATAGACATTTCAAGGTCTCGGGTTCTAAGTAAAAAATTGAGCCAAATTCTTTTTTTTAGTTTCACCATTCCACTTTATCGTTGTTTAGCTGAAGCTTTTACTGCCATACAGCCTGTAAGGTGGTTCAAACTTTTGGTTTTGGTCACACGAACATTGCATATATCGCTCCTCACGCGGGCTAAGAAACTGCCGTAAATAGTTTTTCCAGTTGCACCATACCTCAAATATAGCTATTTCGAGAAAGGTTGTCGGAAAAATGTGCACGCGACAATCCCGAGAGGTAATATGGGATATGTTCAATACACTTTTCCTGACACTGTAGCTGTCGAACCTACTTTTGTTGCTTTCCTTTAGCACTCACAGACATATGTCCATGGCCTCTCCTGCCATTCTATCAAATTTCTTTAAAGAACAGTGAACTCAAAACCACCCACAAAAGTTAAACCTTTCGGGGTTGTGGCGTGCACTTTATCCGACCACCTTTCTCGAAATAACTGTATATTCTCAAGCGTTTCAAGTAAAAAAGGAAATTTAGTTTGCGTTATGTCGTATTTGCTCGAATAACAGACTACAACAAAAGTGTGCGTGTCCTGAAGAAAATTAAGGTCAATTTGTTTAGGGCTGATTGAAAAAGGAAGTTCAAGTCAATAAAACTTAGAGCAAGCTTAACTTAAAATAGCTACATTTTCTCCAAAATTTCCATAATAAGAATTTAAAAAGGCATGAAATGTCACCACCTGCGTCGTCATAATTATTGCAGAGTGATTGATATTGACGGGAGCTAAGAAATGAAAAAGATGAGCATGGTAGTTATTCGATATCAACAGCTTTTTATTGAAATGTTTTACCAAAAGGAGGCGTGCGGATTATTAAAAACGAATGAAAAACGGCAATTTATTGTCAGAGGAACCTTCAACGAAGATGCCCATTTGCTAGGGGCGGGCTGAGAGATGAAAAAGATGAGCATGGTAATTATTTGATATCAACAGCTTTTTGTTTAAATGTTTTACCAGAACGAAGAGTGCAGATCATTAAAAACAGATGCAATAAATTGAGTGACTGATATTTATCGCCAGAGCAAGCCCAACGGATATTTTGCAAGAACTTTTTTTCTTCTTTGGAGAGTCATCAAGTAGAGTATTTTTGTGAAAGGTAAGTTAATATTTACCCCCAAAACTCAGCAAAGACAAAACAGTGTTTAACGTAAAAAGAAAAACCCGGCCAACAACAATAACAGCAAAAAATCAACTGGACGCTTTAAATATTCAGTTCTCAATCTCTCTCATAAAAATTTCTTCACGTTGAATGAGGGCTTAGTTTCTCAAACAGTTGCATGTCTAACTAGTCAACAATCATTGATCTACTTTCCACTGTTAAATTTTCTGGTCAGCAGAAGCATTTTTCCTAATTTTATCCGAGTTGATAGACAAAAGCAGCGAAGATCAATTTTAATTCCACGCGAAAAACGTGTGGTGGGATTTACTTTTTTAAATAAGTTACTTCAAAAAATTATTTTACTCTCGATCACTGATGTGCCTTGGCGTCCACAACCTGAGTAAACGGTGGTCTTTCCCACAAAAATACTACAACCGACGAGGAAAACTGAACTTTCGGCCAGGTGATCAGTTACCCCGGCCCGAGCGGAAAGAGCGCCTACTGTAAGATTTTTTCCGCAATTTAGATATAGACTTTTGTTTCAGTATACATTCATCCAACAGACCCGATCATGGTTTTTTCAACTTTTAACTGGGGTCAGTTGGCGAAAATCCGTCAACACGACTAAGAAGAACGCCTTAAAATTAGTGAAGTGCCAAGTAACATGATGTGTTGAAACCTAACGAAGACATGGCTCCGCAAAACGCTGAATTTTACAAATGTTTCTATGGTTAGGGGGCACTAACTTGCCCCCCACCATACAAACGTCTGCACTGAACATTTCGCGATTTCGTGGAGCAATAATTATCGTCGCTCGCTTTTATCAAATCACTTTTAAACTTGGTCAGTTTCCTAACTTTATGGCGCTCTTTCTAGCAGTGTCAATGGATATTCGGTACCTGGTCTTTATCAAAAATTTGAAAAAAAAAAAAAAAAACAAGGAAGGAGGGTTTTTCTTCTACTATATCCTCAAGCAGCGACTTTAAATTTCTTCTACAGGTCAGAGCAAGAGTACCTTTCACTTCTGCATCTGTGTCGTCATCTGAAGTATCAAATGTTAAGGTGAGCGGTACCTTCATTCTTGATCTTTATACAATTTTCTTGATTCCAAGTAACTGAACTTATTTCGAATTCTTTCTAAAGGTTGAACAGCAGTGGAAAGAAAACAGGAACGGAATCTACGATGATTATTTCTTCACCGGAGTGCAACACCTGGTTTGCTGTTTTCCTTATCGAGTCAGTTGCTATAGTATTAGTAAACCTCCTATCAATCACTCTGTTCATGAAAACAAGAAACCTTCGCACTCGTGCCATGTTCTTGGTTATAAACTTAACCATAGCTGATATGTTGGTTGGAGGATTTTCCTCTATTCCTCTATTTAAATTATTAGGTTTAGGATGCGACATTGTGAATATAAGTTTGACAAAGGAAGGGCGCAACATCATTTCCTTTTTCTTTTATTGGTTTCGTCTCAGCTCTCTAACAAGCATTGTAGCGATTTCCTTAGATCAACTGCATGCGACACTCCGTCCATTAGGACATCGAGTCATAAAAAAATGGGTCTATGGTGTAATAATTGCTGGTGTCTGGGTTTTAACTGCGATTATATCAACTGCCATTGTGATAGTTAGGCTTCTTGGGGAAGAAAGGTGGCATAGTTTTTACTTATGGCAATCATACAACTGTTTGTGTCTATTTTTTATCTGTGTTTCTTACGCTTCCATTGTTGTTAAGTGTCTTTGTGGGGCGCATCCTCAGCACCATGGTGCAGCCAGTACACAAAGAAAGCTGACTGTCACATTATTCATAATGACTATTGTATCTTTACTGATGTGGCTGCCATGTGTTATAGTCACTTTTGCTTATTCTAAAACTGCTAGAATGGAATCTTACCAAACAAAATTGCGAGTGCAGTATTCGTTACTGGCATTTTTCCACATAAACTCGCTCGCTAATCCTATTGTTTATACAATCAGAATGCCAAAGTTCAGAAAAGCTCTCCTAATATTATTTAATTGTCGACAAAAACAAAACGTTGCTGTAATTCTCCTTCGTGCCCGTTAATTAGCCTTCAGTAATGATTTGAGCCCTACTGTTGAAAATAGTACTTAACTGTACAATATTGTAAAGACCGTGATTGCTCTCCAATTGATTCCAATTCAGTTAAGTTTTTTGCATATTTTAAACTTTCTGACTTCACTACTTATGTGACCACCAATAGCTATGTAACAGTATGTAAGAATAAAGCGCCAATGTCGGTCACACCTTTGTTATTCTACACTGATTGCTACATCCACCTACAGTGTAACAAGGCTTGTTAAGACGGCGATTTACATGTATTGCTGGTGCATTAGAATAAAATAATTTAGAAACCTCAATAAAGTTACTTTTTAAAAGAGATTTCTCTGCTTTGGTTGCCTATCGCGTTGTATCTAACTTAAACTAAGACGAAAACTTTTGGAGAATTTCGTCTGTCAAGTTTGCCAAATCTGCTCTTAGTTGGTTGAATACCTGCCGAGGAAGCCTTTTTGGTCTCCAAAAATATTTCGCAAGCTAGCCAAAACGGGGGCGTAGCTACCTGTACGCACGGTACGCACCTGCGTACCCGAGAAAACCGAGGGTGAAAAGAAAAATAAATCAAATAAAATAAGAAAAGTTAATTAAAATAATAATATTAACAATATTATTATTATTATTATTATTATTATTATTATTATTATTATTATTATTGGGTTACAAGGTGGCAAAATAAAAAATAATAAAAGTAAAAATAACAAATGTTTTTAAACCGACGTCTGAGCTCAGTCCAAATGCAACACAAAAAAAGGTTATAGGTAACATTTTTACTTACGATTAGCAAGTTTCTTTAGCTGAGTAATGAAAGCCAGAGATGACGCAGAAATGCCTGAACCTGACTTGGATTTGACAAGTTCCATTCTTAACGCTTTGGACTGAATGAAAAGTTTGTAGAGCTGTGTCTGCAGAGGCGTCAAGCGACAACACACAACCTGTTCCACTGGATTAGAAAAACATCACACATTACTAAGTTTGAGTTTCAGTTGAGGGTTTTGCACGGTAGAAGTTTTAAATGTAAACATGGTGACAATCGAGGCGGCTTCGCACATAAGATGACGACGACGATGTTGCTGCTGCTGCTGCTATGATGATGATGATAATGACGATGATGATGATGATGACGATGATGATGATGATGATGATGATGATGACGACGACGATGATGATGATGATGATGATGATGATGATGATGATGATGATGATAATGGTGATACTGATGATGATGTTAATAATGATTTTATTGATACTGATGATGACGATACTGATGATTATAATGACGCTGGTGATGATGATACTGATGGTGATGACCTTAATGATGATACTGATGATTATGATAATAATGGTGATGATACTGATGATGATGATAATGATGATGATGATGATGATGATAAATGTCAAAAACAGATGAAATAAGTTGCACAAAGGGTGGCATCCATTCCTCCCGCAAAAACAAGGAAATTAAAAGTTGTTACACTATGAATTGGGATAAGGGGAAGTGCGGAAATTTGGCATAGAAAAACTTACAAATTTTTTAAACTAACCTTTCACAGGTAAATACTTCGACAGAATTGTAGCTGGGAAGCAAAAATCAAACAAACATAATTAGAAATCCACCGACTTAATAAACTTAAGCCTGGTTCGCACTTGCGACATAATGACAGAACAACATAACAACTTAAGAAGTTTATGTCGCTAACGTGAACATCAACATAACGACATCACCGTAATTAAAAAAAAAACAGAGGGCGACAGAACGACATAAAGAAAAGATCATTTTTTTCCTAATGTCATTATGTTGATATAATGTCGTTATGTCAACAAGTGCATTCACACTACAAATATAAGGACATAACCACCTTCTTATGCCGTTATGTTCATTTTTTTATGTTGCAAGTGTGAACCAGACTTTACTAAATTCTACGAATAACCTAATTTGCTGGAGAGTATATCAGCCGGTTTTATTTATAAAGAAGAAGATGCACTCGGTGTTTCAAAGGACTGGTACAGTTGGTCAAAGCGGGTCCCGAGTTCGATTTCCAGGTGTGAGTTAAAGTCCTTGGTTGTTTACCATTTACATATGGGCAAACCGGTCGGTCCACGGTCTGGGCAAAATGTTACGCAAAATTCTGGTAAGTTTCGTCCCGGAATCGCGTTTACCGTTTGCACAAATCAGTTCTATTTACCGAAAAATGACCACGAAAGCCTGAAACTGGTATCAAAGATGGCTTTGAGGAAATGGAACACAAGGAATATTCCGTCCGGAAAAAAAGGACTAGTTACCAATACCTTTTCAGATGTTCTGTTGCTTCCGGAAATTTTCCGCTGGAGCGACCCAAACCGTCGTGCTCCTTTCCGGATTTCCCGGAAACTTAGTGTAAATGGTCAACAACCCTTGTTTCAGATCCTTTTTCTTTCCGTGTAGCTTCAAGAAGCTTAAAATACAGTCAAACCCCGTTAATACCAGTGGTGGATCCAGAGAACAGGCCCTGCCCCCCCTCCCCCCCCTCCCGCACGTCATTTTAAGACCGAACTGAGGCCCACAGGGCCGAAAAAAAAATTTTTTTTGGAGACCGGGAGCCCCCTTATCAGTGATCAGGGTCTGGATGACCGCCCCCTCCCACCCCTCCCTTATCTGAAGGTCTGGATCCGCCGCTGAATACGGACACTGAAGGGGCCATAAAAAGTGTCCGTAATAACGAGGTGTCCGTATAAACCGGGTGTCCGTAAAGCGGGGCTTGGCTGTGCCCATAAAACAGAGCACTGATAGAGAGAGGGGTATAATGATCTAACTTTAGGCCTCAGGTTTGTTAGTCAGAAGATGACTAGTTCAAGCCACAGATGCATAATATAGTCTCAGTACAGAGCCGTTCTTTGAGTCGTCACGCATCATTCTTCCCAGTTTGCGTTGCGTGACGATAGTGAGGATAAAAAGTTACCTAGTCCCTATGCCTCATTATTCCGCGCGGCCAAAGCATTTCGGGTCAAGTGGTCCTAGCGAAGATGTGACACCGTTTCCCGCCCGTTCGCCTCGGATATGTCGAAGTGAATTGACCGAGAGGGACTGGGAAAACGCAGAACAGGGACTAGGCAAGATAAAAAGCACTTTTCTTATTTCCTTCTATCATTGATTAAAATCGCAGTTTGTCTTTGTAAAACTCAGGCTGCTCCTTGAGTTTCGAACCCGGGGGGTCCTCTCTATAGTGGCCTATAAGGTAAGAGTCCGCCCTAAAGGGATACTTTTTTTCAGGCTTCAGGTATAATTATAAAAGGGTACGTATTTCATTAGTCGAACTTAAGTATATGAAAGGGTTGGGAAATCTACCATTCCACTCTTTAAAAGGTCCAAAAGGGGCTAATAGACGCATTAATTTTATGGATGTGTAACAGACAAGAAAACTTTCTACTTTAGTGATTTGTTCATATTTAAAGACCGAGGACTTAAAGCAATTAAAAGGGATATAGTGTTCGAAACCAGGTAGGTGAAAGGGGTACCATCTGTCAGATGAAGGTATACAAAAGGGGTACCTTTTCTGTCACAAATGTAATATAAAAGGGCGGGGGATGGACCTCAGGGCGGAGCCCGTTCCCGTATAAAAGTCCGATGCGTACCTTCCTCCCCCGGGGATTTCGAACTTGCTAAAACACTCCTGAAACAGTAAATGTAGAAAAAAGGCCCTATGTCACCTACCGGTTCTTCTAATGATGCACTTGTTCACTAAAGATGCCAGCTGTTTCAAGAGAAGTAAATTAAAACTAAATTTAGCCAAGCCTAAAAGCGGAGCCGTAGATTTAGGTTAAACTTTTTGTTTTTTTCAATAACTGATTACATTAGACAGTAAGGCAAAACACGCTACAATTGAATTCAAACTCCTTCGTCCTGAACTCTTCGAGCACTGAAATTTCTGGTTCATGCTACGACAAGCATGTGCGGCCTTTCTTTTTTTTCCTGACAAATCACACACTTCAGGTAGAATATTAATGTGGTGCGTGCCCAACAAGATTGAGAATTTTGTTAATTCAAACTGCTGTGGTGGTTAAACGCGCAAAATAGCAAAACAAGTTGCACGTTTCTGTTACCTATTTCACCGTATCTTTATGGGAGGTTTTCTTGTGTCTCGAATTTCGGAGGTTTTGGGTGTTTTCCATTACCCTAAAATTTTCGGAAATTTCGGAAATAAATGAAACGCTTTGATCCGTGTGGAAATTCTCCGATGAAAAGTGGTCCACCACTCCAGAGGTGGTCACCGGTCGGTCCGTTCGGCGACCGAAACAGTTCCATTTCCAAAAATTCTCGTTTGCAGTCCTGCTTCGCTAATTAGTAAACAAAATTTCGGTCGAAACGCAAATGGATCGCTTTGATTCAGTTGAAAACTTTGTTTCAATCGAACAATGTCGTTCCATTTTTTTGATAATAGAGAACTTTAGACTCGAGGACGACGACGACATTTAATTTCAAGTTTTCTCGCCTATTCTCTAAAACAGACATCCCGGAAAGCTTCATTGTACTTTTTTTCACCACCAAAGTTAGCACGCTTATTTTCGTTGAAGGTGGTTAAGCCCTCTCCCGATCGCTAGATGATAAAATTTCTAACATTTTATAACTTGTTTCCTCCACTACAACATTCTCGCTAAAACTCGTAGACTGACGACCGCTACAAACCACATTTTCCCGCCAACATGACGTTGATTCGCGCGCGTGTAGTACTTAGTATTGAGAAAATTTCGTTCTCGTAGTCGTCCTCGTCTTAGAATCTAAAGCTCTCTAATTCCACTGGTTTATGACTGTTTGGTTTGGCAAATGGAAAGCACTCTTAAATTCAGAAGGGGCTGCAAAGGGAGACGCATAATCTTAAAACTTTCAGCCACGATGCAACAACGCTACCTCTGCCAATTTTTCAGCTCCTTTCTTATGATCTGCATCAGAAGCATCAGCATCTCTCCCTCTTAAAATGGGAGTTTCAAATTTTTTCTTGAACTCAGAAACAGTCCCTGCAAGTAATATAATGCAAGTCCCACATTCACACATTTGTGGTTAGAAAGAAAGGGCTCTATCGCACATGTAAACTTAGATTGCACCTCACATTTTACGTGATCAGATGAGTAAAATAAGCTGACTCTACAAACAAAACGAAATGACAACTAATACAGTACTTTAAAACTAACCAACGGGTAATTAAGGCTTGGAGTACTTACTGCAAGGTGACTGATAAGATAAATTGACCAACGAAGAGTTTATTGTATACTAGCTGTGAAGGCTTCCTGGACGTGTAAGCATTTTCGGTTTCTTTCCTCCTTGTGTATTCGACAATGTTGACTCAAATTAAAACATCTATTGTCAAGTCTTTCGGATTGTAAAGTCGACAAATTTTGGGGGGAAAATCTTTAGCATTTCCAGTTTTTGGCATGTTGGATACTGGAATCTAATGACAAGTGTCCATTAAATACAGGTTTGTACCAAAAAAAAAAACAAAACAAAACAAAACAAAACAAAAAAACTAATAAAAATGACCATTGCATCTAATTTTCAGGTGTCCGCTTTATAAAGGTTTCATTCACAGTAAATAAGGGAGATAAATTTGGGGAGTTTGGCTACTGTTCGCTTAACACAGGTTTCACTACGTCGAACTTAGGACGCGTCGAACCAATCAACTGAATAGATCAGTAATAAATTTTCATCCGAACGAGGCTAAATACAAATTTTCATATATATATTTTTAATTTATTAGTTCAACAACAACAACAACGACAAATTTTATTGAAAATTGGAAAATAACTAATTACATTACTTTCCCACCCGCGAATAGCTTAGAAACTAATCGAGGCGGGGGGAGCTGAAGACGTATTACAAAACAAGAATTATATATAGATGGACTAAATAACAGTGAAGACACTACTATACAGTAAATAGAATTTAAACTAACATAAAACAAGGCAAGTATATAACGATTACGAAGACAGGCTAACCTAAGTTTAGTTCGTCGCATGTGAAGATCGACGTTTGTCCCAGAGACGATCTTCATACGTTCTATCCGTCTGAAGCACACGAATACAAAGTGTTGGACGATCCAAACTCATTGTTGTTGATGATAGGACTAGTACCGAGAACGTATTAGTCAGGTCACGCGTTCTCAATCTCTCCGGGTTTCTCGCTAAATTTCTAGTAAATCTTTTAAATATTTCTCAACTATGACCGGAACTGAGAAACTAAGGAAAGAAAACCAAGCGTTACGAAAAGAAATTCAAGATCTAAAGAATCAATTGAAGAAAATCACTGACGACATGTTATCTAGTCTTCATCCATATTACGATTTTTATTTCATTTTTTGTAAACCATAAACTTTCCTTAGTTTGCCTTGATCTTAATTTCATATTTTGCACGCATTGTTCCGCCTCGAATAGCCTTGCTAGCTTTGGGCAATGCTTCTGTCATATTACCTGTTTATTAATGAAGTTTATCGTTGCTGTTGTTGCTGTTGTTCAGACGAACTTAACTGAGCAAGACGTCGAACTTTTCATGGACTTAACTCACAAAGTTTGGTTCGTCTCTCGAAAAGTTCGACGTTTGGCCTAGGCTTAACGTACCTAAAATTCCACCATTCACAAAATGAACCAGACTAAAGTATTCCAGCAAGTCATTCTGAATCGGAGTACCTGCACAATAGAGCAATAGGTTTATTTAGAAGTAAAAAAGGTCCAGCTAATAGCGAGGGGTGGGGGGAGGGTGGGGAGACACACCGCTGGATGGTAAATGAGGAGCTATTCACATGATACCGGTATGACTTTCGTTCCCGTACTATTCAATCCGGAATGAGTTCTTTCCAGTTTTCATTCCGAATAAAAATCTCGTTCTGTTACGAAATTTCATTCTAAAAACGAACTTCGTTGCGGATTAAAAATCGCAAATCATGTAGCCTGGGGCGAGTGGTGCATGCGCATCTAATCTGGCGCGAAAACTACGCAAGCGAGGACACCCTAGACAGAGCCGTTCGATTTAATCATGTTAACGCAGTACGAACTTCAGCTTGGAACGAAACTTGTACCGGAAAGAAAGTCATTCAGGTAACATATTAACATTCGCTAAGTAAAAGCGGGAAAGAGTGGGTACGGCGTTGGGGAAGATGACTGATGAAGAAGGAGAAACAAAAGGAAAAATTGAAGACGGATCAGGACTAAAGAACGGTTCGAAGGACAAAGAGAAGGAGGAGTGACTAGGAAAAGATTATGATCGGAAGAAGAAGGAGGAAGACATGTAAGAAGAGAACAAAGGTAAAAGAAGTCGTAACGGAAAATACGTGGTAAGAGGAAGAAGTAGAAATGTTCATTCTCTCATCCAGACCAACCTGATAACAGCACTCTTCTTGTAGTCTTCAGTTTATCGAGGGCTAAATAGGTTTGGCTTTCTAAATTTTTCAGTCTGTGACCCTACAGAGGGACAAAAACCGATCAAGAATAATTCACCACACTCGGGCCCGTTTCAAACGTTGTGCTACTGCCGTGCCGAACTAAATTGATCGAATTAAACTCGACTTTAGCACGGTAGTAGCGCGAAGTTTGAAACCAAGTCATGCTACCGCCACGCTTTGCCCTGCTACAAGGCAGTAGCTCGACTTGGTTTCAAACGTCGCGCTACTGCCCTGCCGAACTTAATTCATAAATTATAAAGACATTAGAATACATTTAAAAGTCTGCTAAACCGTTTCTTTATTTTTGCGTTTTGTTTTCGGCAAAAGCCGTTCTATTAGACTGAATTAAATTCTACGTCTGAAACCAAGTCGTGTTAGTGTCGTGCTGCAGTCGAGCTACAGTCGAGCCAGCTTAGCTTGGCAGTAGCACGATGTTTAAAACAGGTCTCACACACAACCACACATAAGAAATATATACAGTCGAACTTCCCGTAAATGACCACCAGAAATAGGAAGAGTTAGCGGTCGCTTACTGGAGAAAGTCGCTTACAGTGAGTCGGACTGTAGAACGTGTTTTCAGGAGGAGAACTCCTTCTCCTTTTTGGAGTGAATGTATAACAAGTACATGCAATTTTTGGGTTACAATGTAAATCCATGTTGTTTTCAAAAGTTCGTCTCATTGATATTGTAAGTAGCGTCGTGTATACACCAGCACAAAGATCAGGCCCCGGTTATTCAAAAGATGGATAGCGCTATCCACCTTTTGAACAACTGGGCCCAGACCATTATATCAGGTAATCGCTAAGAAGAGGCTAAAAAAAGGAAAATTCTAAAACTGTCATCCCTTAAAAGTTGTAGCGGTCGCTTATGAGAGGTGGTCATTTACGAAACTAAAGGTTCAACTGTAAACCTTTGACAGGGGAAATTTTCGTTTTTTGGATATTAAGTGCATGGCCGCTTATTGGAAGGTGGTCGCACATGGAGGTTGGAGTGTAAATAAATAAATAAATAAATAAATAAACAAACAAACAGCAGAAACTCATAAGGGGTTAACCCCTTATGAGTTTCTGTAAACAGGAAATAAACAAATAACATTCCTGCAAACTCGTCCCACCTCGTCACAGATGACCAATCCTACAGGTCCAGTGTGTAGCACGGACGCATGAAGACGAAAGGTTTCATACGAGATTATTAAAACTGGATAAGTTGTACGTCTTTCTTGCTGAGACATAAACATTCCTAAGATTTAGAAAAAACACCACAGTGACTGATGGAAGGAAGAGCACGGAAAAACAAGGAAAGAACAAAAAATGTGATTGACACATCAAGCATTTTATTTACAGTATATATATTTATTAATTATCTTTTCAGTAAATCACAGGTAAAACTAAACTCATAATATAATTTAAACAATGTTTAACATAAAATAGGCAATAGACCAATATTGTGACAGATTAAAATTCATACTTAGCTCCGAGGCTTGGGGGAATAAAACAAAAGAAGTGCATTGTTCATTGCTAAGCCTCAAGATGATTTCTTTAGTGTTATTCCCCCAAGCAGCCAAGTATGAATAATTCATATTGAAATTGGTCTATTGACAAGTCTGGCTGTCCAGGAGAGACGCTCATTTGTTGAAGACTTCAGCGTGCAAAGGGAGTAGGATCCAATAGCCCGGGGCTAGTGATTTCTATTCTTAACTTGCCCGTATGGGCAAATGAAGTTTCTTTTGGGTGGGCGGGTGGTGGGGGATTCAGATCACAGAACAAACTGTAACCAACGTTCATCAAATATTTTTTTCGGGCTAAAGTTGAAATGACTTTGGGCTAGTACATGTTAGCCTGAATGACAAGCTGTAAAACTGACTTTCTTTGTACCCTGGACTTGATGCAGAAACCTACGATAGTCAAAGCTGCCAAGGAGAAGTAACAACCTTCTATAAGTAATTCTAAAAGGTCATGTCATGTAACATACCAAGTTTTTTGTCAATTTCATCTTTTGATCCAGAGTCAATGGCCAAGGCAGAGATTCGCCCAGAAAGCCATTTGTGCAGTTCATTATGCCAGTTCTAAATGAGGTTACATAAAACAAACAATAACAACAACAATAAAGCCTTGAAGTGAAAGATCAGTAAACTATGTACCAAACAGTGTTCTCCTCATCAGGTGGTAACCAGTAAAATTTACCGCCAGAGTCAACACTTCTTACTGCCTGCAAGGGCTTAAAGGTTTACTAAAATTAAATAAGTAGTTTTAAAAAATACACAAGTTGTGATCCGATCTGATCAAGGAAATGAATGAATACAAGGAAAAGTACTAAAATATACACAGCTTTTCTTTTTATGGGCAGCCTACTTTGGAAAGAGAACATTGAAGACAGAGTAAAATTATTGGAATCAAACGTTTTAAATAGCCGTCTAAAGATAACAACAGCCGATTTGCGTAAAATAGGTCGTAAAATGAGGGAATGGCGTTTCAAAGAACTTAGCTCCTACTCGGGTGGGGCCATGTCCCTTACTCCACTACCCCCACCCTACCCCCTACTTCCTTCCCCCCCCCACTTCCCCGCCAGAAAAGTGCACCTCTAGGGCATAATTTTTGACTTACTGGCCATGATTGGTCCCTAAAATTTAGGGAGAACACCGCCAAATCCAGTAACTATGTGACTTACAGCAGTAACTTTACCTTAACAAGACTTGAAGGTGCAACAATAATCACTTTGTTTGTTATTGGCTGCCCTGAAAGGAAGAAATCAATAACATTGAATATTAAGTAGTGGTGTGCTGCTCATCGATTTTAATTGATCATTGATCCAAAACCTTAAGTGACGTGATAATCCATAATGATTTCCTTGTGGTTTATCGTGTGCTCATGTTGAAAAGTACATGTAATTATGCACTAGTTTTCTTACCATTTGGTCCTTGTTTCTGTAAATAAATAAATAAATAAATGAATGAATGAAAATTGAATATCTCATTAAAACCCATAAGGAGGAAAAAATAAACAGTAGTATTCAGGACTTGAATTTAATTCCTCTACAAAAGTGTTACTTCACTCTGTAAGATTTTTCCCTAAAAACAAAAGACCAGTAAATTCAATTGTCCGTTTTTATTATTTATTTATTTTTATTTTTACTGGTTTATTTTTGTTCTTGTCTCAAGAGGTTGAAGGTCTCTCAAAATAGGCATCTTAAAACAAAACTCTGAAACAGCTGGTGCTCTGTGCTTGCTAAGAAAGCAAACTCACGCTGCTAAAATGGACATAAGTTTCACATAATACCAGTAGCTAGTGCCTCACTTGAATTAAGAGAGTGCCCCATCTGCGCCCCCCCCCTCCCCAGGGAGCTTATTCAATTCAAACATGTTTGAGGGGAGGGCTTAAAAGAGAGGGGGTGCCTTTCAAATGTTAACAAAGGTAATGTTATCAGTTCACCATAAAGGACAAGAACACAAAGTGGAAAGGGTCAAGTAGATTGAAGTTGAAAGTCATGCAACCAAAGACAAAAACCATATCTGAACTTCCAGTGCATGAATTATGAGAAGAGGAATAATACGAAGGGAGAGAGAGAGGAAAGGGGGGGGGGGGGGGGGGCTTAAAAAGGGGGGGAGGTTTTAAAAGAGGGGGGCGGTTTAAAACGGGGGGGGGGTAAACCAGAAAAAACGGAAAAAAAGGGATTTAAAAAATAAACAAGCGGTTTTTAATTTTAATTTTTTACAAGAAAAGTCAATATAAATTGATAAAACTGAAGGGTTTTACCAAACCCCTGAAATGTAACATTAAAAATTAAGTATAATTGAAAAAAAACGAAACAAAGAACAAAAAACATGAGGGACTAGCAGGGAGAGAAAAGGGGGAGAGGGAAAAAGAGGAGAGGGGAGAGGGGGGAAAGGGGGGGGGGGGGGTGGGGCTTAAAAAGAGAGGGCAGTTATTAAAGAGAGGGGACGCTTAATACAGGATGTGTGTTAACCAGAATAAACCGAATAAAAGTGATCTATAAAATCAACCAAGCGTATTTAATTCATAATTCTTACCAGTAGAGTCCATATCAATGTGATACACTGCAAGGTTTTACCTAATCCCTGAAATGTTACAATGAAAATTATTATTATTGTTAATTTTGAAAAAGTATTCATGACAATTCACAGCAACAAACCACTGAAAATTTTATCCTAAGAAAATCACTGCATGAAAACAAACCTTTTAGACATGACAATAAAAAAAATAACAATCAACGGAAACAACAATGCGAATTGGTAGAACCATAATAGGAAAAGAAAAAGAAACTACTATGAGAATATGCATGTTGACCAGGGGCTGGGGCTTGAAGGATTAATAAACAAATTAATTGTATTATTTATTTATCTAATTAAAATGTTCAAATTTAATGGAAACATGGCTAGAAATCTTACCATTTCATCTGCCATGATGCAACCATAGCTGCCTTCGATTCTCTCACCAGTGACACAGTCATACAGAAATTTCACACCCTAAAGTAAAAGAGTGTGTCAGAGATCATTGAACCACACTATCTGACAATGTTTAACAAACAGATTCCATTTTGTTGTGTGTCTGTTCAGTAATAGATTGCAGATGTCGTCAAAATGTGGTAAAAACTAGACGCTGCACATAAGCCGCAGGCAAGTGTGTCACTGATGTTTTTATCATTATTTTGACGTCCTCTGTGATTCAGTCCCATTAGTGAACAGACCCATGTGAGCAACACGGAATCTTTTTGTTTTATACAAATATTCACAGTAAAGAAAAAAAAACAGACAAACCTGCTGTGTACTGTTTGGCTGTTTGAGAATTTGTGCCAGTTTAGGCATTTCCAAGCCACAAAATAACAATAATTTTTTTCATCTCTATTTATTCTTTTTTCCTTTATCCTACTAGATAGTTTCTTTCCAAAGTGTTTAAAGGGCTTCACTTGCTTAAAGCAGAATAATAATTGCAAAAACACTTTTCAAAAGTACAAGAGTTTTAAAGCCATGACACAAGATGCCAACTTTTGTGAATTTTTTTTTAGTTTAGACAATTCTAAAAGCCAAAATCTCTTCCTGTCTCAGTGTCTCAGTTTCTGTTTTCTTGCAAAACAGCCCCCGCTAAACATTTCTCATTTATTTTAAAGGCCTTCACTTGCACTTCAGATTTTCAAAACCATGTGCCATGTTGGACGAAACAAAGAAACTGATTCTACTGTGATGTCATCCATGTGTCTGCATGTACATGTACTGACCACAAATAGATCATGGGCAATAACCAATCATAGCATGCATACACCGTAATGTTCACCACATTGTATTTTTATATATTTATTCCTTAAGTGCACATTGGATATGAGATGGTAGATACCTAATGAGGCTCATAGCGCCAAGTTGGCTATAATCGTCTCATATCCAATAAACGCAAGCGGAATTATTGTTTTATTAAATAGGTCCACAAAATATCGAAAATTCTTCCTGACTTTATAAACTTAAAACAACTGATTTTCAGCTTGTTTTAAATTTTGAGTAGATGACTGTGTACAGTTACCATATTTGGAGAGCATAGTATAAAGGCTTATATACCATGATGGCTAAGCCAATCAGAGCTCTAGAATTGAATTATCCAATGATTCAGTGTTTAAAAATCAATACACCGTACTGCTCAGGTGCTATCGGTCATATTTAGAGCTGTCATTAAGGCCCATAACCTGTAACAACTGTTATTTTTATACATCTGAGCCCACTTGATGTTATGTGTGGCCAAAAGGGAAGGCTAAAGGTAGGGCCCTATAAATTTTTGTCAAATGTTATAGGTGAATCTTCATTTGCTACAGCTGTATGGCTTCAAAATGTAATGAGAGCCCTGATATTCTTAAAAATTAAAAACTTTTGGAATAGTTAGAGTTACAACAAAGTTGGAAAACATTAACACTTCTATACAGTAAAATATAAAAACTTTTCAAACATAATCACCTCTCTCTGGTGAGGGCGAAGAATTTTACCAAGTACAGGATCAACAACAACTGTTAAAAAAGAAACAAAAAAACAAGAAGTTGTGATAATCTTATAAATTAAACCACAACGTACGTTATATGCCCAAAAATGGTTGTTTACAAAACTAAATGTTTTGAGCACAATTAGTTTAAATATCATTTTTAGCTGTACAAAATTCACTGCCATACATGTATGTTACATAAAATGTAAGCATACATCTCTAAAATATGGTTGTGACCTTTATAAGAGTGCTCAAAATGACTAACAAAACAACAGTGACTTTATTAAATGTTTGCATCTTACCATGAACTTCTTGGCTCTCTCTTTATAACAAATGCACAGTCATGATCAGAATAAAAGAGAAACAAAATTTAGTAAATTATTTCTAACGAACAGAATTTAATCCAAAATTGTCAAAATGTTGCTCACGCAGCCATTCTAACAAAACAACAGCCATACTGCCAAGTAGATTTTTTCCCTAAATCTGTTGACTGTTTCACAGTTCTACTTCTAAATCCTACTAATTCTAACTTAAAGTCTAGATATTATGCATGTATTATTGTATCGCACTAAAGACCAGCCTATTCTACTTTCGTCATAATGTCAGATGACTGAATCAATTTCCAAACTTACTTGTAATGCAAAATAAGTACAGTGTAGACTAGATCTATACATAATAGCAAATACACTTTTCCATTAATTTTTCAACAAAAGTTTAACATTTGAAAAATAGATTCTGGTCTAAAAAGGTCTCAGATTTTTTAGTATAATTGTACCTTTTGAGACCCTTCAGGAACTAGTAGCTACATGTAGCTGAGAACTTTTGAGACAAGAATTTATTTTTAAATTTCTTTATTCTAAGGTTGAGAATGAGCATTCATATGTTTAATATTGTTTGGACGTGGAACTTACAAAGCAGCTGTAAGCTTTTCATGAGCAGTAAGTTCAGGAGGGGAGTAAAGAACCAATGCATTTTCTTCATAGGGATCGTGAAGAGCTCTACGAGGACCTTTTCTCTTTATTCCAAGACCTCTTGAATAGGTGCATCCTAAACAACAGTGAAATACATTGTATCAGGGCCAGACTCGGACTGTCAGTTAGATTTTATATTGCCAGATATATGCAATTTATTTGGTAGAATCAAAATTAAACAGCTATGTACAGTCATGTAAGTGTAAGTTCTTTTGGTTATACCATACAAGTTTGTATTTCCTCAAATAACCCATGTTAATAAAAAGCACCCTTGCCCCCAATAAGCAACACCCCTAGGTATAAAAGGCCTCCCCTCCCCTTCCCCTAACTTTCTTGAATAGTATGTAGGGATGCAAGAGGAATGCAAAGATCCGCATGTCATTGATGAGGATGATCTCAAGGATGATAATATGGCGTAAACATAAAATGCAAACTGATTCATCAGTGTATAAAGTATATGGCAGCTAAGGTACATTTAGCAAGGCCTTGGTTATTTAGGATATCACAAAAACCAAATCTATTAATTATTGTTTAATTATACACTGTTTTGAAGAAAATAAAGACAAACACACTGTCACAAGGTTATTATTGGAAATCATGCATTGATTGCTCAACCTACAGATTAGTCAGTTTTCTGCTACAGATACATGTACCGGTAACTAACTAATCTGTGGGTTGTGTTGATTTCCAAAATTAGCTGTAGGCTCTTAACCAATTAGAAGATAGATAGTAAGTAGAATGCATAATGATAAGAGTAATTAGGACTTGCCTTGATAGTTTGGCAATGGAACTTTGAAGGGCTTGGCAAGAATCTTGCGAATAAGTGCTTCCTGTTTTAAAAAACAAAACAATTCATATCATTATTTTTTATGCAAGATTTTTTTTAACATTTCTGAGATTTTCACACGATTTTACGCTTACACTGTCAGACATTTTATGAATTCCAGCTTCAAAAATATTGAAAAAATACGAAACACATACAGTAGCAGTATACAATACATGCAAGTTACATTGTAAGGATTAATCTCACAGATGTTATTAATTGTGCCCTCAAAAAAATACTTTTACCTTTGCAATTGTATAAAATGTAAGAGAGAGACTCTGCATCATACAGTGTACAATGGTAATTGAACTGAGTGGAGTGCAATCTGGTCTGAAATCATATGCGTGATTTTAAAATCAGATGAGCACACAGTGTGGGTTCGATTTGAAATCTACCAGTATGATTTCCGACCAAACTAAATGTACAACACAAAGTTTAAATACCACTTTAATACAGCCACTTTGATATCACAGAATTCAGTCAGTATATCAATATTTATCTGACCAAGTAGCTCGTTTGTTGAAAAGCAGAAACAAAAAGGCTTTCACATCTCATTGTGTACCCAAAACAGAAATGAGGCAATACAGAGCGAAAATGGTGCAATTTAATCAGAAATGGTGTCAGTTTAGAAAATGAACGACACAATTTAGAACAAAAAAAAGTGTTATCCGGGAATAAATCACACTGCTGAAAGCCAATCAGATTGCAGGGATCACCAGTGACTTCAAAATGGATTATAATAAATCTGTAAATCTAATAATAATAATGGAAGACGACAGACTGTATCAAACATACAGCTGTAGCCTGAGAAAACTGCCAACATTTCACAATGTCCACCACTACTGGTTTCCCATGAAATGACATCTAAGAGACTCCAGAACTGATGATGCATCACTTCCCAGATCATTACCCAGATCAGGGTAATGCTTCTGATTGGCTAAATTTGCTTCATCCAATCAGGAGTACTATCCAGATCTGGGTAGTGATGCATCATTGGTATGGAATTTCTGCACTCTTTTCCCACCCAGTGGTGGTGTCGCAAAATGCCGGCTGTTTTCTCGGCCTATTTTAAATGAAGAATACAAATGTACATAAAGAAATAATGCACATATTTATTTACATGGGCTGAGAGGTTAAATGAGCCACAGTTGTCTTGTGTTGATAGTGGAGCCAAAACTGGTCTGTCAGGCACATCTTCAGCTGGATCACATTTGAGCTTCTGAACCAAAATCAAAACCACAAGGAACATACAGTATTATTAAAAAGGTGTAAATTCTCCCTTATTCAAAAGTGCATAATATTTTAATTATGTTCTACACAGGTGTGCTGTTTGACAAGGAAAAAACATGAACTTCCACGCCAAGCTGAATAATAGAGCACTTGTACATACACCTTAAATTTCCTAATTATTTTGTCACAACAACACTTCTTATGCATTTGTCATCACCTTGACAAGGGCTAGGCAGATATCAGTTTTCTTGTATGCAAAACTTTGACAAAATATCACTTCTAAACATCTGGGTGAAAATTGGTTAGAACGTGTAAAACATACCAGTACCAGTACTGGTATATTCAATCTCTTTTCAATCTCTTTTCACCATTACAAACTAAACACTAAATTCTAAATGTGTTTATAGCCATGAATAATTTACAATGACTTTATACAATCACTGATGTCTGAAGGACAAATGTTAATGATGGTATATAATCTACACTGTAAGCTGTTTTCCAAATTTGTTAATTGAGAGATCAGTCTAGCTCACTATAAATCATTTCTTGACTTGACACTGTGGTTTTGAAACTCAAAACTTGATCCTCGATATTAGAGATTTGATTCTCAAAAGTTTTAAGAATAGAGTCTCAAGAATCAAGACTTTCAAGTGACTCAGAACTTAATTTTGAGTGGTGTACTCTAAATCTGAATTAAATTCAGATTTAGAGTACTGGTCAACCCCAGCTGACTATGAAGAATTAGCTGAGGGATAACAGGCAATTAGAAAGAGGGAAATAATATTATTTTGCATGAATAATAAAGCAGGGTGCAAAGAAAGTCAGTTTCACAGCCTGCTATTTGGGCAAGCTGTAGCTAGCCCCCAAACCCTTTTTGATTAGCAGGATTGATTAGTCCTTCTGTAATTTGAATTTCTCCAAAAAACAGCACTTGGCCGTCGGGCAAGTTAAGAACAAAAATCACTAGCCTGATAGCAAAATCCACTAGCCCCGGGCTATCGGATACGACTTTCTTTGCATGCTGTAAAGGCAAGCTTTTTGGAAATGACACAGAAGTAAGTGGTATTTTCCATTTTACCACAAAATTCCTGAAATTTCAGTTGCTGTAAAGTTTTCTGTTAAGAAAATTTCAGAAATACACGTAAGCAGAAACTAAAAGTAATACTCTTTTCCCATTGGAAAGTTTTCTGATAGAGATGCATTGGAAAGTTTTCTGATAGAGATGCATGTTCCATTTTTTCTCAAGGACTCACCAGTTCCAGGCTCTGCACTGCTGTTAGCCTACAAATGTAAAGCTACAGTGTATGTGCAAATGGACGCAACATTGTTGGATGTTATATGTTGGGTTTGTTAAGTTGCACACCCTGTTGCCTGTTGTTGCGCAAAAGTTTGAAGCTGGTCATTGTTGCAAGTTGTTTGATCCGTTTGCATGAAGCTTAAGAAAGCAGATAACATTTGGCAACCCTAACACCAGTTTTCCAGGAAATGGCATCTAATAAACAAGTGCAGGAATTCCAAACTGATGCATGTCACTGCCAGATCTAGGTAGTGCTTCTGATTGATCATGCTGCATGGGAATCAGAAGCACTACCCCGATCTGGACCTTAGTATCAAATTTCTGCGCTCGTTTCTCAGACGTCATTTTACAGGAAACCAGAGGTGGCGTTACAAAATGTCGGCTGTTACCTCAGGCTCCACTGTTGTCATTTTCATAAAAACCCTGACTTATGTCAAATGGAACACGTTCCTCACACATGAAGGACATTGCAATCCAAATTTCCAGATTCTTTTGGTAAATGGCTCTCGGTAGAACAAGAAGGACAAAAATTTCGTCTTGTATGAAAGGATTATATTAACCTAAAGCATGCCCCACAGCATAAAGCACGAGTTGTTGTCACGTTTCTGCTGTACCACTTTCACTGACTTTGCAAATCAATTTTGTAAATAATTTTCATTATCATACAAGCTTATTTATTAAACTAAGTAAGCTTTTCAAATAAAGTACGGCACATTTTCACCTGTTTCCGTTTGTGCTGAGTCTGTTCTTCTTCCTCGAAACCTTGCTTTCTTTTGAGAAGTTGGCTCGGAGCAAGAGATCTCCTCTACAATTAAAACAACAACAGTCATTTCTGACGTGAATTTACACTTGAAGCGTCCCAAGAAAGCACAACAAATATTAAGGTACTAGAAGTCGATTTTGGAAATTAAAGAACCGCCAGAAGGTAAACGAAAAGCAGGAAGTTTTTGAGAAGCTTACCATTGCTCTAATTAACTGAAAGTGAACTAATCTTCATCATTGAAAGCCGAATAAACCAGGACAAAGGACATTTAATACCACTGCTTCAAAAACGGCGCCATATTTGCGCGCAAAATTTGCATTTCTTTTGGCACCAGTCTTCTTGTTCGCGGTCAATTCCTAAAGCACAGGAAGCGCAGACTAAGCCCAGGGCCAGGTTGTTCAAACCTCCGTTAAGGATAATCCCGGGTTAGTGTGAAATTTGAAATCAAACAAGAAAGCTTTAAAGTGAATTGAGTTTACTTTATTTTATTTTATTTTTTTGAGTACGATTTGATGATTCGTTGCTCCAAAAAGAATGGAGAAAAATATCAGACAAAAAACAGAAAACCCAGGTTAAAATTTAAATGTGCGTTTACACTATATAGTGGAAATGCACTTAGCCACTCTAACTCAAATAATCCCCCCCCTAATTTTTTCTTTATTTGTTTGTTTGTTTGTTTGTTTTTTTAAATAAAACATAGGTACTGTGTTCGAACCCCGACGGTTCGAGCGAACAGGGTTCGAAATTAAGTAGCACAGGCCGATTAACGTAGTTTGTACCTATTCCACTTTAGTTTCATTACCATTCCAAGCTATTAGAATTATGACAGTGTACTACGGAGGTCAGGGAATTAAGGGGGAGGCTGGAACACGTTCGTTGGTTGATCGGCTACAAAGTTTCCAGTGCGAACTGATTGTGCCTCTTTGCGGTTTCGATTTCCAGCTGTTCAGTGACATGGTTCGCGAGAGCGGACTCCTGTTTGCCCTCCTTTTGCTCCCGAACTACGAACGGCTGGTTATCGTGTCTACGGTTTCTGGACTTGGTTTCCAGAGTGGAAATAAAAACTCTTTGGCCATGGGAGCCCCAAATCTTGTTCTCTTGTGATTCCAGGGGGACTCCCATATAGAAGGACACCGCTTCCCGCTCGTAAACCTTTCATTGCACAGGGATTGAATACACAGCCGAAGCTCCAGCCGTCATTTAACAAAACGATCCTGCTTAGATCCCATTTTTTTCCGGCCGGTTTTTCTTGTCCGGTTAACAATTTGAAATTGCTTACCAGGAGCCTGACTACACACATCGGAATGGCGGTCACATCAGAAATAACGAGAAATTTTTTTCACTCGACTGATTCATTCAAGTTTACCATACATTTTGTTCTCTTAAGGTTGCCATGCACCCAAAAAAGAAAAAACTGACTGATCGCTCCTGTTTAAACAATAATTATCTCATCAACCGCGCTCCCAGTCGTCTCTCCTATTCGTCCCTAAAGAGCTAGCCTGCGTAGCTGGCGGTTAGGGAGCTTAAGCAACAGCGTTGTTGAGCGACGGACGTCAACCGGAAGTGAACCTTTTGCATCATTGGGCAGTGGTTTGTTTGAAACTCTCGGATAAATCCTCTTTATAAGAGAAAAGAAACTTAGCGATACAAATTTGTTAGCGTCAAGGCATATAAAAAGAGAGAAAGGCTCACTTCCGGTTGACGTGCGTCCTTCAAAAACGTCTTTGCCTATTTGGCGGTGGAGCCGCGATCCAAAAAAGGGCGTGGGGACGAGGCGTATTTCTCGCGGCTTCTCCTCTCGTGGCGGCTCCGCCACCAAATCTCACTCGACTTGTACACAATACCGCCAGCTACGCAAGCTTCTAAGGAGCGGGTGGGAGAGTTGCCAAAAGAACGTGTGCTGGGGAGGCTAGTAGGAGAGAACCCTGGGAACGAGGTTGATTATCGCATCACCTTGTTAACTCGTAATCCAATAATAGTGAACTTACGCAACAGGCCAGGAGAGCAAAGAAGACGGCAAACCTTGTGTGACAAGCGTGACAATAATTTTGTTTGAAAAAAATTTGCCTGAAACTTCATCTTCCTTTAATAGCCTGCGAACGGCAAACGTATTTGCGGTCTCGCTTCTCTCCCTCCGAAAATTTACATCTTCCTTGAAACAGATCTTTTTTGTAAAAGACAAAAACACATTGATACACTGTACAGTGAAACCTGTATTAAGCGGACAGTAGCCGAAGTCCCCAAATTTATTTCCCTTATTTACTTTAAATGAAACCTTTATTAAGCGGACACCTCACCTAAAAAGTACCTAAAAAGGGCCATTTCTATTGTTGCCAACCTGTATTAAACGGACACTTGTAATTAAATTCCACCACCCAACATGCCAGACACCGGAAATGCGAAAGATTGCCTCGAATTGCGACCCACAAATTTTTCGATTTTTTTTTTCGATTTTTACATTTAAAATAGCCTGTGTACAGACGTCCCCCCTCCCTCAGGAAAAATCGGGAGAGGAGTCTTCTCTCCCGATTTTTCCTGAGGGAGGGGGGACGTCTGTACACAGGCTAATTAAAAAACGTGACTTGACGAACTTATTTGATTAGTTTCATAGTACAGGATTGTTTTATATTTCGTTTTGTTTGTATAGAGCTTGTTTCACTCATCTGATTTCTTCAAATTTGAGTTGCAATCCATGTTTATGGCACTATGATCAATATTGGTTCCCCGGGGGGGGGGGGGGGGGACATCCAAAAAAATTGGGTTGGGGTGGGTGGGCGCCCTCCCCAACCCCTTACCCCATTGTTACGACAAAATTCCGATTTTCCCCCCCCTCTTATTATCTGCGATTTTCCCTACCCTATTTATGAAGGAGGGGGACATGATAAGGAAGTAGCTTCTTCTAAAAAAGTGCATTCAAGACTACAGTGCAAAAATCGTTACCCTATTTATGACCAAAATGGCGGCAAAATGGCCAAAATCGATACCCAATTTATGACCAAAACGGCTGAAAACCCCTACCCTTTGGGGCCGCACATACCTATATAGCCCATATTAGGGAGTACCCCCCCCCCCCCGGGATTGGTTCACTTTGATAAAGAAAATAATGCAAACGTCTATCGTCATAGTTTCTGGGAGTATTATAAACGCTTCCACTGTTCATTTGAATGGCATTTGACACCTCATAAGACGTATTATATCGAAACCTGTATTAGGTGGACACCCTGTATTAAGCGGACACCACAGCATTCCCCGAGAGTGTCCGCTTAATACAGGTTTCACTGTATTCCAAAGCTTGATACAGTGCATGCATTATCAAAGATCTCTTGCAGATTTTTGTAGTCATTGCACAAATGGCAAGTCACACCACATTTTTTTTTCTCTTTGAAAATGACCATTGTGGTGTAACTTCACCTGTTTGAGATGCTCCAGCACATAAACATTTTTGTCATAAATTGTCGGCAGTTTAAATTTTATAAGACAAATGAACTTGTGTGGATCAGGACTGTAGTGTATGATGTTGCAATGGTGATGGCCATTGTGAGAAAGCTTTCAAAAACAAACTGTCTTCAATTTTGAGTTAGGTTTAGTCTATTCCTTAATTTGCTGGCCTCTTCTTGTTCATTAGTTCTTATTTTTTTCAACAGCAAATGGAGTTCATTGAGTACACCTGGCAATCAATGAAGCTTTCAGCTCCTCTCACCAGTCTCCCTCAGTAAACATCATTTTACTGTTTGTTCTTTGTTTTGTGTAATACGGTTCACTTTGCCAGTTTATTACATGTACAACTGAATTAAAGCTACTTTAGTTGCATTTAGTTGAAATTTATTTTATTTAACTCCTACACGTAGAAGTAATTGAGACGAATGCATCATGTTACTTCATTTTATTTAAACTGATGTTTAACTCCTTGATGTTTAACATTCCCCAGCAGCAGCCTTAGCTTGGGCTATGGTGATATGATCAATTCATTAAAAAGTCACTGTTGTTGATTTTAGGAGCATTGGAGAACCATCGCAAGCTGTATCTACTAGCAGTGGTGCTGAGGACTGCAGACTAACCAGGAGTACTGATAATTCACCAGAGGATCATCAGGCATCTGAAAACATTGATTTACCATCCTCTCCAGTGGAAGTAAACTACACAAATAAAAAGAAGTACCTTCTCACAAAAAAAGTCTTTCAAGACAAAGTGTCAAAAATAGTTCCCCAATTTATGACCAAAATGGCGGCAAAATGGCCAAAATCAAAACCCAATTTACGACCAAAACGGCTGAAAACCCCTACCCTTTGGGGCCCCACAAACCTATAAAGCCCATATTAGGGAGTACCCCCCCCCCCGGGATTGGTTCACTTTGATAAAGAAAATAATGCAAACGTCTATCGTCATAGTTTCTGGGAGTATTATAAACGCTTCCACTGTTCATTTGAATGGCATTTGACACCTCATATGACGTTATATATCGAAACCTGTATTAGGCGGACACCCTGTATTAAGCGGACACCACAGCATTCCCCGAGGGTGTCCGCTTAGTACAGGTTTCACTGTATTTACTGAAGAGCAAGTAACAGTCCTGTTACGTTTGTTAAACACAAGCGTTTTGCCGTCCTCCTCCATCTGCCGTCCTGTTGCGTAAAATCACTAATAAAAGCCTGACACGACCTCACCTAGCCTGTTCCAGGCGTTCAGATGGTTTCAGATGGTGGGCCGGCAGGCGAAAAATTAGCGCGGGGGCGAAAAATTGACGAGGGAAAAAACAGGGCGGGAAAAGGGAGTCTCCCCTCGTTTTTTCCCCTCGTGTTTTTTTTTTGTTTGTTTTTTTTTTTTGCGCTCGCCGCATACCATTTAACTTGCTCCCCACTATCTAAACGCCCACTATCTAAACCCCATTTTGCAGTAAAGTGTTTTTTGAAGGTTGCTATGCAGCCAAGGCAGCCAAAAAAGAAAAAAAACTGATCGCCCCTAGTTGATGATAATTATCTCATCACCTTCTTAACTTAAACTCGTAATCCTGTAATATCTTAGCATGACAAGAGCTTATCCCATTTTACGGAAATCAACCGGAAGTAAAACCTTTCCCTCTTCTCTGTGCTTTGATGTCACACAAGGCCTTACAACGTACGTGACGGCTTTTCAGTAGGAGGCATAATATTACGCACAGGACAAAGGAAATGCTAGATTTTTAATCGCCTGTGATAATCGGTTTTGGGGGGATCGGTGTCAGCACTAACAAAAATAATCTCCGTTGTATCTACAAGCTCACGATCGACATAATCCGAGTAAGCCAGTGAAAAGTGAATTCCTTCTACAGAAAACCCAGCCATATCCGATATTTATGGGTCATATGATTCTATTGGATATACTGTATAGAGGTCCCTTTAATATTAGAAATATGTACACAATTTCCAGTATCTTTTAGCTCAATTCGATAATATTTTTGGGGCATGCATTTTTTTGAACTTCGCATGAAGAGAGAAAAAGAGAGAGCTACTTTTACTTCGCTTCTCAGAATCGAACTGATACGAAACAAAAAGTGACCAGGAGGCAGAGAATTGGCGTCCCCATCTGAACTACCTCTTCCATGTAAAACTGTTTTGTTTGCCCTGGGCAAACCAGCAATTTCGCTTGGAAAATCAAATGGTTCCGGGGGGGAAGCATAAGAAAATATTTGCTGTGATTTTAGGCGAGGCAATTCTTCCATTTTTTTTTTTAGTCTTTTCAGCTGATTTGGATACACCTTGTTCTCTGTTCATTGTTCTCCCAACACGTCAAATTTTATATATTTGCTGTGATTTTAGGCGAGGCAATTCTTCCATTTTTTTTTTAGTCTTTTCAGCTGATTTGGATACACCTTGTTCTCTGTTCATTGTTCTCCCAACACGTCAAATTTTATATATTATATAGTTCCAGGATATAGTTTTATGTCACGCACAAGTTTTCGCGCCAACCGGGCGGTTTGTGTAAATGGTAAGAACCCCTTATCTCCCGGCCCTCTCTCTGGAAGTTATCTTTGTTATTAGTCCGAAACCTGTTGTGCGCAGTTTATTCTTGTAGCACTTAGAACTGATTATTGCCAGAAGCCGCTTAATCTTCTCTCGATGAATTAATACGACGCGCACCGGAAGGAGAGAGTTATTGGAACTATTACAAGAGTTTGTTTTTCTTAAGTATCTAGATAGGTCAAATATGCCTAGCAAGGTCGTATGAATGTTAAGTGGGGAAACAAGCAAATTTTTCCAATTCTAAATAAGCAAATTCAATTGCCACGATTTTCGCGAGCAGAGTACTGTTATATCTGACCACTTTGCTGATCAAGTTCCCAAGAACTTTTTTAAAAAAGGTAAGGATGTCATCGTCTTTTCGCATTGATCCCTTCTGACGAGTTGAAATAATCACCGACGGTCTAGTCTTTTTAGAAATGACAATTTAGCTAATAGGCCGCATGTGCCCCATCTGAGGGAATCCGCATCCCAGAATTAGGTAAATTGTTTGCTTGTGGAATCAGGAATCCAGCAAATTTTTGTAGTGGAATCCTGGAATCCTGGACTTTGGATTCTAGAATACAGCTTAATTTCGCTATAATTCTACTATAGTCCGCGATCCAAGTTCTACCGACAAAAAAAATCTGGATTCCACGGTGTGGAATCCAGAATCCAAGACTCTTCGATTACATTTGCTGTTTTTTTGTTTTTCTTTAATCCAGTGCGACGAAGCCCGTGATGTTAAACAAGAGCTAACAAGAGCTGTTCACATCCACGCGATTATATATTTTGGGGAATTTTCCATTGTAGAGTATTGGCTTTCCGTACAAATACTGCATTCTTCATTGCTAAAATTGTTATCGATATCCTTTTCAAAACAAAAACAAAAAACAACAACGACAAGAAAAAAAAAACAAAAACAAGAAGAAAAGCTTAAAAGAAAATTGATTTCTTGAACCTGAAGCGCAAACTCTTCGGGGACGTGTCAGAATTCAGGTTAGCAGGTTAATATCCTTATTTTATTTAGTTCAGTAACAAAGAAAGAGAAATTTAAACTGAATATGACATAACTATAAATAAATTACGCGAGAATAACGCCACAAAACAAAAAAGCTAAATAATAACAAAGAAAACATTTTGCTGATTTATGTTAAGGAGTCGATATTGAGGGTTTATGTTCATTAGTCTTGTGACTATTAAACCACTGCCTTTTTATAGTTCCTTGCATTGATTTTAAGGTTCAAAGTTCGCGAGAAGCTTCCAGATTTGATTCGCGAGGCCACTGCTAAAGTCGTTAAGAACAGGTCAGTCTAGATTTCCTGAAGATTGGTAAGGATTTGCGGTTCTGAATTTTAAACAATACCGGCGCGGATCAAAATTAGCGGCTGTGCACTAAAGCACTCCCAAGTTATATACAACTTAAAATCTTTAAGATTTGTGAAGTCGATAGATAAAGAATTTATTTACAAACAAACAAATGTGAAAAAGGTGCTATTAATACCCAAGGGGGGTACTCGACAAAGTTTTATACGGGGAGGCTCCGTCTCCGAGGTCCAACCCCTACCCGGTCTTTGATATAATTTTTTGACAGAGAAGGGACCTCTTTCACAAGTATACCTTCCATTGACAAATGGCACCCCTTTCGCATACTTAGTTTAGAACTTTGCATCACTTTCACTGCTGTAAAAGCACTGTCTTTAAAACATATGAATAAATCCTAAAACCAGAATGTTTTCTCAACTTTTTCACAGCCATAAAATGCATTTTTTAAAGCCCTTTTAGGTCTTTTTACTGACCTAAATAGCATATTTCTCTGCACTTTCATATTCTTCAACTATTGAAATCAAGAAATCACTACCCTTTCATTCTACCAGAATCCTGACTGAAAAAAGGTAACCCATTCGAGTGGAACCTCCCAGCACAGGTCATTATAAGGGGTACCCCCCCCCCCCCTGGACGGTCAATTCACTTTCATTTTCTGTTGCAATTTTATTTTTATTTTGTTAATTGAAGTCCTGGAGCCTTGTTGTCTCCTCTCCCCTGACGAAAGTTTGTTTGGAGCAGCGGGTATCGGGAAGTGGTAAAATCCTTCAATGGCTGTGTCAGACTCAATGCCGCGCTTCTAGGGTTTACAGCACCATGAGCCGTGCTCCTAAGAAACGAAATTGTAAATTAATGAACTAAAAAGGTGTTTTAGTTTCTCAGCTGGAAGGGTGATTAATTGCACACGAAAGTATCATTTTCACATAGCGGATTACAGGGGCGGCCGGGAGCGATGCTGGGCTAAGAATGACATACATCCAGTTTGAGGTAAGTAAAACAATGGCGTCTTATCCTAAGAAATAGAGTAGTTTGCGAAGATCGTTTTGTCGATGTCAATGTTTCAATTTTACTTGGCACGTTCTTTGTCCGTTTCGGATTAATAGCAGACTAAACACTTATAAATCTCATTGTTTCAGTTGATTTGTGTTTTGTTTAAGCGCTAATACAAATTGCTCTACCATGATGTAGACTATGATATCCCCTTCAAACGTCTTTATTCCAGCCGAGATCCGGCGACTGTCTGGCTCGCCAACAAGTCACGTGTCCCTTTTTCAGACCAGTGGTAGGCAATAAAGAATCGGAGTCAATATGGATAAAACCTCGCGGTATTCCATACTGACCACCAGAGAAGAAAAGGCGAGGACGCTCACAGCACGTCGAAGATCGAAGCTCTTCAAGTACTTGGCAGTTTCCATTCAGGTCAGTATATCTGATAGTGCTCAGTAATTCATTAGGGGAAAAATTTTAACCACCTCGATGGCATACTTAAGTGAGTTATTTCGCTGGCTTTATTTCTTGCATAAAAGCCAATCGTCCACATCAATCTGTAACCAAAACCGCAGTGCTCGTTATGTATACTTGCTACTGTACTTTACAGTATTGGAAATCGATTAACTAGCAATGAAAATAAAATTAAAACCATTTGCTCGCCTACCTCATCAAATGCTTATTAAAGTAACTGTACTTAAGAAGTATTACTTGGAAAAACTTACAGTATACAAATGTGCGGTCAGGAATTAGTGAACCACTGACGATGTATAACGTACCGCTAGTAGTAGCTCTGAATCGTTCTCAGCGACCGATTTAAATCAGCAAGTACAAGACGCGCTGCATGATTACTTGTTGTCCAGTTTGAGTTTAACCCGTAGCATAATTTGTACCCGCCAACTGTTTGCATTTTCTTATCTGTGCAATACCGAATAAAACTAAGGAATATCAATGTACTTACTATATCTTATTTGCCCCCTTAGCCCTCTCCCCTCCCCCCTAAAAAAGGACTCGGATTGTGCATGTATAGACAAAACATATTCAATTTTTGATATTTATTCGAGGTTATTCCAACGCCTACAATTTCGTTTACATTTATCTCTTTAGATGTTCACTGATATCGTATGCGAATTAACAGAGCAAATATTTTTCAAGAACGTGAACATATTTAAGATCCACTTTGAACAAGGTGACCGTAAATCCGATCAATGGAGACATGTGTAAGATGCATCAAGTCCGAGGTGATTGATTTGGTGGGCGCGGTTGCATTATTTAGATGAAAGTTCTACACTTGTTGCCCTCTTAGCGACATCAAATTATAAGTTTGATTTTCTTTTTTTTCCAGATAAAAACGAAACAGCTAAACACGAACGTTTCTTCCGAAAGTAGAAATCACGAGGAAAGCTCCGAAAAGAAAACTGCATTAATTGAACAATCGATCGTCAGGCTCTAACCGAAAGATTTCCTGTGGGCCATAAAATTATTTTAATTCATTTCTTTACCATAAAATAGCTATTTTGGATCGATGAGTGAGTCATTTTCTATATCAACACAGACTGCTTGCATTTCGGCGATACAACGGTTATGGATTTGGTGCGGAGCTCCCATTCAATTGAGCGAGAAATCGTCTGAAATAAGGAATGTAGATTATGATTGTAACAAATCTCTTAGTCAGATTTTTAGTCGAATGGAATGCTAATTAAATCCGTGCATTGTTGGTCAGTAAGAGACTCTCAACAAGCGAATTATTTATTTCCATGGGTGTCTTCTCGGAATACACAGTCCACTCTTAAAGGCTTTTCTTGTTTTTTTTTTTTTTTCAAAACGACTTTTAGCCAGATCTTCCCATCAGTAGCTTGTGACAAAAATGTGTTGATAGAAGGTTGCTATGGTTACGATACACGACGTCAAGAGTAACATGAGCAATTACACAATGCCACGTATGACAGTATCTACTTTGAACCTCATATTTGGAAATCAAAATCACTAATTTCTGTTCTGCTTGCACAAGTCTGAATTTTCATGAAGTCCAA